GGCAAATTTTTTTTTTGACGTCACGAAGTTCACGGCTTTGCGTCGATAAGGATGATCGTCTACCAATTAGATTTCAAAACGTGATTTGGAATATTCTAGATCTGATTTCCAAATTGGGTAAAATACCGGACTGTAATTGGCGTTTGATAATCCTCTTGTAGAAAAGATTCACGATATTTCATCGATCTAATACATAACTAATATATAATAAAGATCGAAACTAACTATCGAAGTATATATTTTCAAGTACATACTTTTAGAATCTCTGGGGATCCCTGAGGCCTTACAAACTAGTTTTTTCATAAATCGAAGTTTAACTTACCTATTTTCATATATTGGCCAACCATGAATTCAAAATCGGAAGCCAAAGATTTGCTTTGCTTTTTCACTTTTTTTGCTACAAAACACCCAAACAGCAACTTGATAAAATGTATAGAGAAATGTAGAGAAGAGAAGTGGCGAAATGCATCTGCTGATGCAACAACAAAAAGAATTACAGAAATGGCTAAGTATTTTTTTAAATTAACTTTGTATCTTGATTCTATGAAGTATTATTCTATATGTGAAGGGTACTATAATCAGGTTGTTGCTAAAAAATCTTTTATTGATCAATTTAAGAAGGAAACTAATCCAATTCTTTTATCTTCAGATGAACTCAAAAAAAAAAATTAAAGGTTTCTAATGACAGTATTGAGCAGCAAGTTTCTGAAAAAACCTTCGTTAATTTTGGTATTCAGGTTGATTTATTTGAAATAACTTATATTGATTTTGATGCACAGATTGATTTAGTTGAAAAATCTTGTGCTGATTTTGAATCCCAAACATCCTTTTCAGATTCAATATGTGAAATTCTTCAAAAAAGAATTGACGAGTTAGAAAAAAATAATAAACAATTATTAAGTGAAAATAAGGTATTAAAAAAAAGGCTAAGTGAAAGATTTACTAATCAAAAAGATTGTATTCATTCTATAATAGAAATTGCCAAAAAAGAACAAAGTAATTTGTATGAAGACGTAATAAATTTAATAAAAAATCAAAAGCAGTTTGATTTAGATAGTCTTTTAGAGTATTCTCCTTCCAAATGGCTTGCTGAACAGAATCCAGTTGTCATAAAGTTTATAGAAACTCTTACACATAATGAGAGCGAACACCAACATGGAGAAGAAAAGCTTTTCAAGTATGCAGTGGCAATTGATTCTATATACAGGTCAAGACATTTAAAATATGTATCAACTATTAATTTGGCTACTTCTGCAATTAAGTATTCATCATCAAGAAATTTTTTAAGCTGATAGATTACAATTACCAACAATTAATTGGTGATTTGCTAGTCAACCAAAGAAGATCTACAAATTTTTATAAGTAAATTTTACTATTGAGCTAAATGTGGAGTGCACCAATCTAAAACTTTTTTTTTACTAAGTAAATTACTTTTGGGCTTATAACAAAAGTTGTAGAGCTCATCAAGACGCATCTAATGGTGGTAAGAACGTTAAAATTAGCCTGGTAGTTCTTGAGAAATCTTTAAAAAACGTTTCGCCGACATATAAAATTTCTTTAAAAAAAATCGATTTTTTTTAAAGAAATTTTATATGTCGGCGAAACGTTTTTTAAAGATTTCTCAAGAACTACCAGGCTAATTTTAACGTTCTTACCACCATTAGATGCGTCTTGATGAGCTCTACAACTTTTGTTATAAGCCCAAAAGTAATTTACTTAGTAAAAAAAAAGTTTTAGATTGGTGCACTCCACATTTAGCTCAATAGTAAAATTTACTTATAAAAATTTGTAGATCTTCTTTGGTTGACTAGCAAATCACCAATTAATTGTTGGTAATTGTAATCTATCAGCTTAAAAAATTTCTTGATGATGAATACTTAATTGCAGAAGTAGCCAAATTAATAGTTGATACATATTTTAAATGTCTTGACCTGTATATAGAATCAATTGCCACTGCATACTTGAAAAGCTTTTCTTCTCCATGTTGGTGTTCGCTCTCATTATGTGTAAGAGTTTCTATAAACTTTATGACAACTGGATTCTGTTCAGCAAGCCATTTGGAAGGAGAATACTCTAAAAGACTATCTAAATCAAACTGCTTTTGATTTTTTATTAAATTTATTACGTCTTCATACAAATTACTTTGTTCTTTTTTGGCAATTTCTATTATAGAATGAATACAATCTTTTTGATTAGTAAATCTTTCACTTAGCCTTTTTTTTAATACCTTATTTTCACTTAATAATTGTTTATTATTTTTTTCTAACTCGTCAATTCTTTTTTGAAGAATTTCACATATTGAATCTGAAAAGGATGTTTGGGATTCAAAATCAGCACAAGATTTTTCAACTAAATCAATCTGTGCATCAAAATCAATATAAGTTATTTCAAATAAATCAACCTGAATACCAAAATTAACGAAGGTTTTTTCAGAAACTTGCTGCTCAATACTGTCATTAGAAACCTTTAATTTTTTTTTTTGAGTTCATCTGAAGATAAAAGAATTGGATTAGTTTCCTTCTTAAATTGATCAATAAAAGATTTTTTAGCAACAACCTGATTATAGTACCCTTCACATATAGAATAATACTTCATAGAATCAAGATACAAAGTTAATTTAAAAAAATACTTAGCCATTTCTGTAATTCTTTTTGTTGTTGCATCAGCAGATGCATTTCGCCACTTCTCTTCTCTACATTTCTCTATACATTTTATCAAGTTGCTGTTTGGGTGTTTTGTAGCAAAAAAAGTGAAAAAGCAAAGCAAATCTTTGGCTTCCGATTTTGAATTCATGGTTGGCCAATATATGAAAATAGGTAAGTTAAACTTCGATTTATGAAAAAACTAGTTTGTAAGGCCTCAGGGATCCCCAGAGATTCTAAAAGTATGTACTTGAAAATATATACTTCGATAGTTAGTTTCGATCTTTATTATATATTAGTTATGTATTAGATCGATGAAATATCGTGAATCTTTTCTACAAGAGGATTATCAAACGCCAATTACAGTCCGGTATTTTACCCAATTTGGAAATCAGATCTAGAATATTCCAAATCACGTTTTGAAATCTAATTGGTAGACGATCATCCTTATCGACGCAAAGCCGTGAACTTCGTGACGTCAAAAAAAAAATTTGCC